TGATACCACTGTGGTATCACCGGAGGACGGAGACCGGGGACGGAGAGAAGAGAGGAGAGAAAATACCTAAAATGTTCTTGCATTAAAATTTTAATAAAAAATTATCAAAATTATAAATTTTCTAATTTATCTATTGATTTGTGGTTGAGATTGGATCTCACGGTTACCACAAATTAATTAGTTCTCTTTTAATTATGCAAATATATATATATATATATATATATATATATATATATATATGGTCAGGTTCAAATGTTAACCAAAGTTTTTATGTTAACTTTGTTAACCGATTTTGGCCATTCAATCTTTTAATTAACGGTGGTGATTAATTATGACAAAAACTTATTTTTTTAAATTTAAAATTTCATAAAAAAAAAGTGAACAAAGTTGAAAAGGGTATTTAGGTAAAAAAATTTTATGTAACTCCCATATCATTAATTAATTGGGAGTTACAAAATAATTTTTTTTTGATTTTTTTGTTAATTTATTTTTGTTAACGTAAGAACCATATGAACACAACTATATATATATATATATATATATGAACCATTGTATCAAATACGAACAAAAATTTGACATATATATGAACTTGGACTGCATAACATTTATGAACACAATATTAACATAATAAGAATAACTGCGATACGAAATGAAATAAATAAAAAAACATGTATGAACACGATATGAACAGCTTGTGAACAATAGTTCATTCATTATAAACACATTTATGAGTGATATTTTGTCAATTGGAGTTTTATACATACATTGTATCCATACCGTTTAAGGTTCACCCTTTGTTCATATTTGTTTCTGATCTTATATGGTTGTTCACCCCTTGTTCATATCGTGTTCACCCCTTATTCATATCGTATAAAATATATGAACACATAACCCCAACACTATGAACACATGGTGCAGACACTTACACAAATATACAGATTTGGTATCAAGTTTAAAAAATAACATTTGTGTTCATATGATAGAAGTAACATGAACACAATGGTTCATTATTCATAAAAATCGGTAATATGACAATATGAAAATGGGTAGTGCATGTACTTCCATTTGAACATGTGAATTAGGTACGTATTTTAATATTTAAAGAAAAAAGATATCAATACAAGATGAATTATAAAAAAACACAACACAACATAATGAACATAATTTCTATTAAAACGAATCTAAAAACAATAAAAATCTATTACCAAGGCATTCGTTTTGGTTAATTTCTTCATTTCCTACCTCGAACTTCGATTGTCATCATAAGCCATTTTAATATTCTCGTTGTTGTCAATTTATTTTCCATTGCGTTTATCCATATTAACTTGATCGATACTGAAAATTTTTACTACCGTATTTTCTTTGCGAATTAAAAACTGATAAAACAATGAACATGGAAAATCAAGATTAAAAAAAATAAAAATATTAATTTTTATAAATGCATATTTTTTGGGATTTGATGATTTGTAACTCCCCATTAATTGTTTGGGAGTTACATATCAAATCAATTTACTGAAATASCCTTGTAATTAAAATGTGAACATGACATAAACCTACAAAAAGAATGGAATTTGATTGGTTGCCATGGTTTTTAAAGTTAACATAAAATTGTTGGTTAACATTTGATCTTCATATATATATATATATATATATATATATATAGACTTGGGATCATGTGAGACCAATTGTTTTTCGTGAGACCCGTAAGACCAATTCTCAACCCTTAGATTAGATTTACAATCGTCAGATCTGAACATTTATAAACGCCACGAGACTTCTCACTAATTACGAAATTGCCACCTTGCAACTTTGCAACCATTAGATCATTAATTCATAAATTTGATCAATGAACATAAATTGGTCTTACGGGTCTCAAGTAAAACCCTTGGTCTCACGTGAACCCAACCCTATATATATATATATATATATATATGTGTGTGTGTTTTCTCACTTTATTGTTTGACCAAAAATTTAGATGCGATAGAGTCTCTGAAAAGTTTGAAACTAATCATTTTCAAATGGGTTTATTTATAAAATGATTATTCTTTTCGACTTCTTATTTTTTACGTGATTGGATGATGACAATCGACGTGAATTCGAGGCTATTTTGTACTTCAATTACAAATCTATCTGGTAGGATTACATTCATTTCAATCTCATGTTTGATTTGAAAGATTTTCTAGATTTAAAATCACATGATTTTATTGAAATCCTACAAATATATGATTTTAAAATCCCACAAGGATGGTTGGTATTCTATGAAATTTCATTGGATTTATATATAATAATATCTAAAATATATTAATTTTTTTTAATAATAATCAACTAATAAAAAGATAATTTAGATATTTTTATAATTATTTATTATGTTTTATGAATTATGAATTATTTATAAATAATGGAATTTAAATTTTATTTTAAATCTTACAGATCAAACACACCAAAAATTCCAAATTCTTCCATAAAATCCAAGTTCCTAAAAATCATTGCATCAAACCAAACAATTAGGATTCACATACTTACATACCCACAATCACAATTAATGGTCAAAAGTTATATATAACCATTTAAAGACATAAACATTTAGACTAAATTATAGGTTTCGTCCCGGTGGTTAGATGTTTTTAAACAGTCTTTGTCCATTTTTAGAAAATTCAATAGAACCTGTTGTTGTGGTTACATTTTTAACAAGTTATGTCTTGTGGTTGTAGTTTTTTTTATTAACCTGAATATCCAACCCGCTATGCGAACCGACTAATCTCATTACGACCACCTGCTTTGCATATAGTCCGGAGTTACCGCATTTGAACCTCCGTGACCACAACGGAATTTTATTCCTCTTTGGATTTGAACCTGGGACCTCTAGATATTTTTGACCTTTGGAGCCAAGCTCAAACCAATCAGGCACCACCCTTGTGGTTTAAAAAAAATGCAACCACAAGGATATGATCAGTTAAATTTTTCAAAATTGGATAAGAATCGATAAAAACATATTATCACGGACACAAAACATAAAATTTACTCAAACATTTAAGTCATACATGATGCAAAATCAAGGTTCTAAATGGCGTGACGTGGCGGTGAGATCAAGCCCTAGGAGTCATGGTGAATCCGCAACGTTTTTCAAGGCGTGACTTATGACGGAAAATTTATATCATATTACTCAATAAGTCAATGATATTAAATAATTTAAATTAAATTATACATTAGAAACTAATAAATAATACATTAAAAAGATAGAATTATCAAATATTGCGTTACAAAAACCGCACATTAAGCCATGGCGTGCCGCAGGCTTAACATGACGTGAAACACAAGTCTTAAGTCACGGCGCGCTACGATAGTTGTTGCGGTGATCTTTTTTTTTAACATTGTATAAAATAGTTATCTCAAAAATAAACATTTAAATTGTGCATTGGAATAGTTAACTCATGTAAGCATCAATTTAAGGGTTGTTTGTTTTACCTCTTAATAGTTCTATTAAGAGGCAACATCTGAATCGTTAAGAGATGAATCATGTTTGCAAAAAAAAGTTTGTCTCTTAATAGTTGTAAAACCCTCTGAATGAGTTTGTATCAGGGGCCTCCCTTAACCATTCAGCGCCCTAATTTCGTTGTAAATAATTACCAAATAATTATATTTCATTTTGCACTATATCATGAGAGTCTCTTAATCATTCTGACAACTTAATTATTCTACAACAAACCATTCAGCAACTGTTAAACAACCCCTTAGACTTAGTGGGTTTTTTTTTTCTTTTAAGTATTTTCTTATATCAGATTCATATTTTTTATTAGACATATTTTGTTTTAAAATTATATTAAAATAGATAAAATAACACTAACAGTAATCCACAACAATTAACAATATTAAAAATCCTTAAAAATAAATAAAAACATATTACATATGAAAAATAAAATGTAATTTAATGATACGAAAAACCTAAAACCTGAAGTTTTAAGTTATGGTGAAAAGCGTTGGAAAAGATCTGAACTTTTGATCACTTTTAATCTCATGTCTATCCATGAATTACACAAAAAGAAGAGAATTACCTCATTAATGTTGACATTCAATTATGATTGATCTAAAGGTGGAGATCTCTTCTTACGATTCTCACCATAACTTCACTTCTCATCGAAACCCAACCTTAAGCCTTATATGATTAAACGGCCTCAATGGCATAATGGTTAAGTCGACCTTGAACTTAATATACCCATGTAAAGATTGGGTCAGGGGAATGTTTTGAAGTCTTGTGTTAGTAGACTTTGACCATTTCTCTTCCATATAATGTTGGAACTTTTGTTCTTCATAAATGACTCTTTTGAAAAGTAATCTAATGAGGTTCTGCATATTCTCACATGATATCACAGCCAAGGTCTACCACTCCACGGACTCCACACTCTATGCAATTTGTACTCGTCTAGCCACTCATCTGTCTAGCCCCCTCGACACTGAAAGACAATTTGTGCCCGTCTAGCTTTTCATTGGAGAGACTGTGTTGGAGTCCGGTATCAACTATACTCATGAATCATTTACCAACACAAATTAGATAAACGCTAACCGGATAAGAATATGGTTTTGGTCAACAATAATCACTGCCCGAGTAAAAGTCCCTCCCTTAGCTTATCACCAGGTCAACATCATGGACCTGTAAGGCGAGATTGGTGAACAGCCTGTCATCTAATAAGGTTTCATATACTCCAACAAGATGTAAGATGAATGCAAACTTTTTCTCTGCCTAAAAGAAGTGCATAAATATTTTTTCGGAAGCGTGTCTCAGGCCATGTCTGAACTAATCCCGACAAATTGTGATTACAAGAAATCAACCTGATAAACTCGGTGGCCACAATTGTTGGAATTGAACCCTGTGTAGATGCGATATTCTACCATATCCCCAGGACCTCAATCACTACGCCACTACCGTTGTGGTTAAATACAATGTACATAAAGAATAGAAAGAATAAAGAAAAATGGTATAGACCAATGATGTAACACTGTCATATATGCATGCTGCCATTATCAAACTTACAGTACCATCTAAACCTACATCACACACAGAAAACACAGACATATGGAGTATGTCACACAAGAGAAAAGGCTCTATTCATAATGAATACAGTATGCACAGAGCGTAAAGTTTAGTCACTTGATTACCAATGAGAATGAGGCAAAATAGAGCACAACAAGGAGAGATCATAGAAGTCGAAGGTGGTCGAATCGTTCGATCCCTCGGACGAAAAGACCGACACAGCAAAGTCTGCACCTCAAAGGGTCTAAGGGATCGGCGTGTTCGGCTAGCAGCTGACACCGCAATCCAGTTTTACGACGTGCAAGATCGTCTTGGCTATGATCGGCCCAGCAAAGCCATTGATTGGCTCATGAAAGAAGCGAAAACTGCTATTGATGCACTCAATAATGGGCACCATGATCATGACTTGCTTACAACTTTTCTCAATACCTCTGCGGCATTTCATCGAACATCTGGTGAGCGGAACCAGCAGGTTTCAACTCACAACCAAATCGGAAGTTTCAACAACTACCCATTGGAGTTTATCAGTTCAAGAAACAAACGCCATGAAAACCCAATCGAAGAACTTATTATCCCAATGGATTTCACATGGAATCCGAGTTACAAACCGGGAGATGGCTTTGCAGTTGTTGATAGGGAACCCCTTCAGTCCAGTTCTCCTGCAACGATTCAAACATTCAACAATGAATTTGTAGATGACGAATCGTTCTTGGGATTCGATTTTCAGCAAGAAAATCATCTTCAAGAGGAGGAAAATCGTAATCTTTTGTCGAAAAACTATCGATTTTCTGGAACTTCAATCTTGCATTATGAAGATCAGCAACAAAGCTAGATTCCCTGTCAAATTCCTAATCATGGTAACAAGCTTCCATCACATTTTCATCTCAAACAAAAGATTCAAATCATATTCTCCAAAGAATTAATTTCCCTTCAATATTTTTATTCATTTAACTATGATTATATAATCCGACTTGTGGGTGTTTGGGATTGATTATTTGAAACGAATTAAGCTTTTCTACAAAAGCACTTATCAACTTATTATAAGTCAAAAGGGTTTAACTTCTTCAAAAACTTCTTATTACCGCTTAGCACCGGTATAAATTGTTTATCCAAAACATTCAAAAGTGCTTATTATCAATGTCACATCGGAATAAGTCAATAAGTTATTTTTATAGCCAATCCCAAACACTCCTTGAGAATCATGAAAAAGTTGAAAACTACTGTTTTAATGTGTTCTTTCACATTGTAAAATAGCACATGAAAATACCGTGTTAGTTTCATGATCTGTTTGTTTTTAGTATCTTTCGTTTCACATTGTGAAACGACACTGTATATTCACATGCATTGTTCCACAATAACAACATAATGGATCTCATGATTTTTAATTTTTTTGTGGTTTTCATTTGATTATGTCGTTGCATTTGTACTTATTAACCTTACAAATTATATCAGACTTATATTTTTAATGACACTTGTGATGTTTTTATTGAGGACGGAAATAATTCAAAAAAATATACTAAATAAATAATTTATACAGTGACTAGTGATATTTTATGTCATTTGCTCCAGGAAAATGATGAAGAAGATGAAGGGAAATATCGAGATTATCTGATATATAAAAAACGGGTATGCATCATCTGCCGGAGCATTTCCATTGTACTGGTTTTATGGTTATCAGAGGAAGATTATCTAAATAAAAGAAAACTGGGAATGTAAGTATTGTGTGTGTCTAATATAACATGTGTTGTTAGTATGTAATTTCCATTATACATATGAATGCGTAGACTTCAATTCCTGCTCTTTTTGTAGTGTCGTATGCTATAATACAATCTGACTTTCACCGCTAAACTAGCTAATTCTTAGGTAAAGAGTTTGCATTTCGAATAATTAACGATGGTCAAACATGACTAGCGAACCAACGTTGGTGGGAGTGTAGGTGTTGGCAGCTTGGCGCATGATGGGGGCAAGGTGGGGGATGGTGAGGCTGATTGGAGGTGGTGGTGTTGGTTAAATTGGATGCAAAAATTATTTTTCTTTTTAAAATCAAATTATAAATTTGCCACGAAATTTAATTCAAACGTTCACTTATATCAAGGAATGATCAAATCCATCAACCATGGGATTCGGCAGAATCCAATCAATTTAGTCCACTAACAAAACATCATCAAGAAAATTGGTCAAAGAAATTTGTCATTTTAATTTTATCAAATTTCTTCAGATTATGCGAACCAACCAACCATTTTTTTTCTTTTAACTTCCAATAATAATACTTGAATCTTTATTTGCTACTTTTAGTCCCTGCACTTTGTAATTTATAATTTGTTCAGAAAAATCAGTGTTACAATTCTCCTCTTACAAGATCCGTTGGCTTGAGAGAGGTTGCTCCATGGTTGAGGGTGTTGGCGAAGAGGAGGAAGGTGTTGTCGTGGTGGCCAGGAAGTTGCGGTTGAGGAGGGTGGTGAGGTGAGAAGCGTATCATATCAATGGTGGAAGTCGTGACATCAACGTCTTGATATATATATATATATATATATATATGTGTGTGTGTGTGTGTGTGTGTGTGTGTAGGTGTGTGTGTGTGTGTTCATCGGTTTCTTGGGTTCGAGTTTTTTTCATCCCTAACCAAATTCAATCAAAGGTTATCAAATGAAACTAAATTTAACCAGTTTTTGATCTGCTTTAGTCTGAAACTAAAAACTAAATTACAAAATTATAACAAATTAAATAAATGGATAAAACATTAAATTGTCTAAAAAACCAAATGACTAATGTAATTATCTTCATTTTATCAAATGTCTGAAATTTTACTTCAAACAACCATAGATAGTTTTTTTTTTGGAAGAGTGTCCCAAACTATGTCCGGACTAATTCTGACACATTATAGTTGTAAGAAATCAGTCTTGATAAACTCAGTGAACACAATTGTTGTGTACGCATGGAATCGAACATTGGATAGATGGAATATTCCACCACATCACTTATGGTCTTAACCACTACACCACAACCGTTGTGGTCAACGACACATAGTTGTTGTCCAAAGACGTACATTATCACGAATCCTGCAAAAACGTTCACATCAAATCAAGAGACTCGAGGCCCAAGGCTTATTTTTTTGAGATATAATATATAATGCCCAAATATCCTTTAACACAATCAAGCCCATACATATACATAGCCCAGTTGGTTAGGAGTAGTGATGGCCAAACCGGCTCGGCCCGACCCAAGATCGGTAAGGACCGGTTATAAGACCGAAATCTGGGACCGGTAAGGACCTACTAACTTAAGAGACAATGTTACATTAATTGGTTTATGTAGGACAATCAAATCCTAATAAAAACCGTTGTTAAAATCAGAGGTGCTTATTTGGTGAACCGGATCTAACATATTTTCTTGTTCAACAGGACTAGTATAATAAATCCAAAGCCCGTTTTTGTGGGTTTTGAGAATTTGTCCGTACCTGTCATATAAACTGGTTGGGCTTGCCAACAGGCTAAATGGACCCATAACATTTACATTTAAAAAACTTAAATGAAATCATAAGTTATGTAAAATCATTCAAGATACATAATTGTCTTTCCAACTAAAAGATGTAAAAAACACCAACGTACACATCGTAAGGAAACAACAGTTTCACAAAAGAGCGGATTTTTTCAATAATAAATTATTAAACCACCTAATATTTCAAGATTGGTATCCACGATGTATTATATGACATATGACATATAATATATATTTGGGAGGTAGTTGGCACTCAGTATATTTGGGAGGTACTGGATATGTCTGATTTTTTTTGCATCACTTAATTTTAACAGTCCAGCCTGACCTGTTCGTATTTCTAAAAGTGGTTGTCCAAACCTGTGTTTCTAACGACTAAATTTACCATCATACTGTAAGTTACACAATCATATTTTCACCAAAAAATAACTTTAACCTTTTCTTCCCATATGGATATTATTTTATATAATTAAATTAAATCATTCATTTTATGATACCGATTTGTCTACTTATGAAACTGTGACAAAAATAATTGTTTCCCCGTAAGATAAATTGCGGGAATTTAGATATATACTTATAACCAACCGAATATTGTCTCAATCCCTTAAAACGCATAAAAACAACAACAAAGAATGAATGAGGATTTAAGGTTTGGGTTCTCGGCTTAATAATCGAAATGTATTACGTTGCATTGTACGAGTAAGCTTTTAATATGTCAAAAAGGAAAGCTTTTTAGTATTTTTGTCCCTATTGTCTCAACATCTCAAAGAAAACCTTATTCAGTCGAACCTAAGTATTTCCCGACACTTAATTGCTGGAAATGATTACAAAGCGATGATAGTGTAATGCCCGAGGAATTAACAGTTCGGATGTGGTATTCAATGGGATGAAATGTTTACGAAGGGACTTGGTCGGGCAGATTAAATGGGGGATGGAATGTGTTTATTTTCACCATTATTCTTCGTCCTCGATTGAGAATCTTACCAACAATCTTACATGCTATTTTGATGGTTGAGAATCTTACCATGTAAGGTAAATGGAGAAGTGACATGATAAACGTCCCCTTACACATTGAGCAATACCACATGAATGTTAGGCAATACTATTCAGACTAGTACCAAGATAAACCATCCGATTCATGTACCAACCGTACCAATTTAATTGGTATCAATTCAGCCAGTGTCAATCTAATTGGTTGATAGTACCGTACCAACTATCTAAACTTGTTTGGTACGTGATATTAAAAGTCGTATACCATAGTAATATCGTACTGTACGAAATTATTTTTCAATTATTTATTAATTAAAATTTAATCAATAATATAACATATTTTTATATTTTAATTATCTTATTTTCTAAATTATATTCTAAAATAAATCCCCATTATTTATTTATTTATATATTTGAGATATTTACGATTTTGATGTATATAATTATTCTGTCTTCAAAATTATCACATGCTGAAAACAACTCTCTATTGGTCTAAAGAATTTAATGATTTTTTAAATGTATATTTTAATATTTATTCGAATATTAAAAATGATTTTATAAGATACCAAATCTCTAAACCCACGTTAAAGATTTTTAATTATTCTTTTTTTTTATTAATTTAAAAATATAACATGTTATGCGAACCGACTAATTCCAGACGACCACAAGTTCGTGGGTGGCCTGAAGTCATAGCATTTGAATCTCTGTAGCGACAAAGGGATTTTTATTCCTCCTTGAATTCGAAATGAGACCTTCAAACACCTTTTGACCCTTGTGGTTTTAATTGTTCTTTGTAAAACCTGTCGTACATAAATAAAAAAAGCAGGTTTATGAATTCATATAAGCTTAAAGTTATGAGTTACTGATAACTTTTATACTGATTTTAAGTTAATTTGGAGGTTATAGGATTCAACCTATTGCTTTCGACTTGAGATATCACGGTCTTAAAAGTTTAAATCATATTAGAATGTAAAGTTTGTCTATGCTACATATATAGGGTTGTAAACGAATCGAATGAAGGCTTGTTCACGTTCGTTCGTTTAACTTAACCGAACGAACACGAACGATAAACGAACGAAAATCTTTGTGTTCGTGTTCGTTCGTTTAGAAATAAGGTGTGTTCGTGTTCGTTTATGTTCGTTCGTAAACATGCTAAACAAACGTAAACGAACGAAAATCTTTGTGTTCGTGTTCGTTCGTTTAGAAATAAGGTGTGTTCGTGTTCGTTTATGTTCGTTCGTTAACATGCTAAACGAACGTAAACAAATGGGCTAAACGAACATACACGAACATGCACGAACATAAATAAATATTATTTGAATTCAAAGTAAATAAATAAAAGATTATATATTAAATTTAATATGTAAACGAACGGTAAATGAACGAACGTTCAGAAACATAAATGAACGAACGAGACTCTTGTTCATGTTCGTTCGTTTAACAAAACGAACAAAAAATTTTGTTCACGTTCGTTCATTTATTAAATAAATGAACATAAACGAACTTCCCACCGAACGTTAACCACCGAACGGTTCACGAACGGTTAACGTTCGGTTCGTTTACAGCCCTGTACATATAGATATATAATTTATATGCACGATATGGACGATATCATAAAAGAAAACTCGTCGTAACAGTCATCATAACTCAAAACTTGTTTCTGACGCTACGTTAACTCTATGGCGATGAATGCTATACGCTCTTTTTGTAACACAATATTTATTTTTTCTTACCTTTTTAATGTTTCATTTGTTAGTTTTTACTCTATAATCTGATTTAGGGGCCTTTTACTAAACGCTTACGCGGTAATTTTCCTCACCGGATGAACATGGCAAGGGCCAAGAATCTTACCCGGTAAGAACGAGGATAAAGATGGAGAGTCTTACCAGGAAAATTGTTGCAGGGAATACGTTTTGATATACTACAATCTTACCCAATAAAATAAATTAATAGTGTTAACTCCTAACGATAAACACTTACTGAGTAAACATCTAGGTAAACAGCCCCTTAATTTGTTTAATATTATTGATTCTCTGAGTAATAGCAAGAAAAAATATATTTATATATAATATTATATATGATATAAAAATTTACTGGCATAAGTCACACCTTATAAATGCAGTAATCTTATTGTGGCTTCTAAGGCTTGAAACTTGACATTACTGTCACGTTATACCTCATCTCATTTACAACTTTAAGGTGGCGTTTGTTTTTTTAAAGAAGTCTGAAGTCTTATTTCACTTTTGATTAATAAGAGGTGGCGTTAGAGTCTGAAATCTGAATCAATAAGACTGTTTGTTTTTGTAAACCGATAAACGTCTGAATTTGTTTAAATTGTCTATTTTACCCACTAAAAAATTATAATGTTAAATTTGTAGATAAATTTATACAATTTCACATATTTATTTATCATAATTACAAAATTTACATCTAAATTATATAATCAACATTCATTTAAACGAAAATATATCATTAACGGTGTTTAACATATTCAAATTATATTAAACTACATCAATTGGGAGAGGTGACATTGATTTGGTAAGGATCGATTGAGATAAATGATTGATTAAGGTTAATCGAAAGAGAAACGTCATTGTTGAGGGTTGAAGAATAATAAGAGGCACCAGGCAAGAGGAAAATAAGATATAAGTGCCTCTGAAAAATTGAAAAAAATTAACAGTCTGAATGACTTTATCTTTTAACAAATCAGATATAAGAGGTTAATTTTTTTTATAAAAAAAACAAACAATTATTGATTTCAAACAAATATACATTTTAATATTGATTGTACGTTTTTATCAAATAATAAATTATTTATTGTTTTTAAATTTTCGAATGTAAATAAAAAAAAAATTATTAACTGCAAGGGGGTAAGGATACCAAAAACGTAAACCATGGGGTGCATTACAGAAAATAATACAAAAACAAGGGATTGGAAAGGTGAGAAAAGAAAAGTTGAGGGGGACTTTGCTGTAAAAATAGTTAAATACAGGTCACGGGGATTACAATGCTGATAATACAAAAGAAGAGGGGCCTTTATGAAAATTAAAAATACGTTCATTAAATCAAATGGTCCCGGCGGGGCTCGAACCCGCGACCTTCGGCTCATAAGACCAACGCTCTAACCAACTGAGCTACGGGACCCGTTATGACATTTAATAAACAATTATTTAAATTAGTATTTTTTAATAATCATGTTTTTTTACCAAATTATTAATTTATTTTCGTCCATTTTTTGGAATTATATTGATTTTTTATATATAATATAATGTGCGATTTGTAATTTTTAATTTTTTTTAATCTAAAAAGACATGATTATACACTAAATTTCTTACTTAACGTCATATGATTTTTTTAAGTATGCAATTGTTTTGAATATCAGTTGTATATAGTTATCAGGGTTGTGCTAATCTTTCTGTTGGCCTTGTTACATTTATACTAAAACTATAAATCGGTTGAAACGAGTAATAAGCAGAATAAATATAAAAGTTCATATAACAAATCTTACAAACTAAAACAACAAAACTGTTAGAAACGACAATGAGAAGAATATCCAAGAGTCGTTTTTGTTTTTGATCGAAGAATTCAAAGCGTCGTTTTCATTAAGGCAGGTTTCACAAGTTGAGCTATATAAATATGGGACCTAAGGACAAATTAAATTGGCTCCCAAAATTTGTGGACCCTATTTAAAAACCAAGATTTAACATGTTAATAGACGTCCCTGACAGTTATTTACACTATACTGAATTTGGGAAAAAAATATATTTTTACAGATGTAACCCATTATTATTTGTTTTGATGGTGTTAATTAAATTGAAGGATAGTTTTGTAATTCTACTAAATTGTCAAATGGTTGTCTTTTTCTTTACTTCGTGGCTGTTTACTAAACGCTTACCTGGTAGGTGTTTAGCGGACAATTTTCCTCACTGGACACATGGCAAGACCCTAGAATCTTACCTGGTAAGAGCGATGATAAGGGATAGAGAGTCTTACCCGGTAAGTGAGGCTGACGACTCTTACCCGGGCAAGTGCTTAATAAATATATTGTTACATACGATACCATTTTGATATACTACAATCTTACCTAAAAAATAAATTATAGTGTTGGCTTCTAACGGTAAGCACTTACCGGGTAAGCATTTAGGTAAACAACCCCTTCGTCTTCTTCCGATATTTGAAAGAAATACATCACTTGTTTTTCGTTATATTCCTTTCATTGTCCTCCTACAGGTTTCGAAAACTCATGAAAAATTTTAAATGACCTTGAGACTCGGATTTTTTAATATAAAAAATAAAAAATAAAATGGAATGTAGAATCAGTTCAATACAGTTAACATTCATAACTTGATATGCTTACATATATAAAAATAAAATTCGTAACATACGACTGATTTCCGATAAAATCTTAAAAACAATGAAATAGAATCAAAATTCAAATACAAGATATGCTACTGATCTAGCCTATGACCAACCCCAAACGACAGTAAGAAGATACAACATGAGTAGCGACGCCGGGAACATCAGGTAACCAAAATAACCAGTCCAAAGCGGGAAAACAGTCCTTGTACTTGTGAAAACTCCCATTACTCCACAAGTTACAAAAACGACCAAAATTTCAGCTGAGACGTCCCATGGAACGTCTTTTATGTACACAATGAGTAAAAATGTTAACAAACTTGTCGTATTACTCGTGAACGTTCCTGAATAGATCTGCCAAAAAAAATTACACCATGAAGACCCATAATAAAATTCGTTTTATAAGATATTATATCTGTTTAAGTATCCTAATATACTGTTTTCTAGGATTACAACAGACCTGTGTAAAACTGTTATAATAAACCAAAAGTGTCCTAACAAGTTTTTTAAGACACTGTACAGATAAAGTGTCCTACTGTCTTTTTTATAAGTCATTTTTGAGAGGTGACATATGAGCATATCTTTTTATACGATACCTGTTCTATAAGATATTAGTTTTAAATAACGTCACATATAATGATTAATAGAATACTTTATTTCAAAAACGTCTTAAAAATTTGATAAAACATACAAAAGCGTCATATCAACTTTTTATAACATTTTTACATATGATGCACAATTGTTTGGTCCTATAAACATAAGCCTTATAAAACAGTCTATTATGACATTTACGTTGTGTTTCTTGAAACCTTTTTTTTTACGAAGGACGGTAAAAAAAATCCGTACTCTTGAAACTTTTTTAAGCGAGAAACGAAAGAAAAATGAAGGAAAATTTAGAGAACACAACATTAGACATTATTAGCGTCATATAAAGTTGATTTTGTTGTGACGAGAATCTTAAAAGAGAAAAAAATAGATAAAAACAAATACCTGAGATAGCGTTAAAGATGCAGCTCGTTTGGTCTTTTGACTTGCTGAATCGATCGTCTTTAAGAGGCGTGGTATGCTTATGGCAGCCGGTATTACGAAGTATGGAATGAAGAAGGAAGGGACATGTGCATCGGTAGCAACGTTTGCAACGTTCATTATGAGCGGTCGTGCAATGAGAGCTGAGATTGTAATCCCAACGACCACGTACGCCAAAGCCTCCACGTAATCCCAAACCGAACGTGGAGTAACAGGGGTTCTATTTGTAGGTAACAAAGCTTCTTGTTGTTCTTCATCTGTACTCTGTATAAACGCATTGAAACCTCGCTTCATTAAGCACTTTGTTAGAAAGACCTATTAAGTACTCTATTAATTAAGCTCCCAACGAATTCCCCCTTTTTATCATATTACGTGACCAATAACAAGATAAAAAATTTATAACGTTTCCAAAAATAGAAAGTTACCGCAGCCGGTTTGATGAAGAAGCTAAGCGGGTTATAATCGTTCTTAGAAAGTGAAGCCCTCGCTTCTTGGAGCCATTTCGTTAGAATTCTAACAAACTCGTCCTCTTGAATAGAATCATCACCCGAGATGTCTAATTGCATCATCGTGTTTTCTATAAGACCGTCACTAACTTCACCATCTGCTTGCACTTGTATTCCCAAGAGTAAAGTTTTTAACTCGGCACTCGACACTTTACCATCGTGATTTTGGTCAAGTCCCTTGTAAAGCCTACACATCAATATATATTACGATCAAAAGGAGTTTCTCGAATTACGAAAAGAAAAGGAAACCATAGAACAAAATTAGCTTTATAGGATACTTAAGCGTCCTAATAGCATACTTTATAGTATTTAAGTTTGTAGAACTAAATTATAAAGCGTCTTATCTGAAAGTGTTACAATAGGTTTATAAGACGTTTTTGGACGTTTTAACAAGTTTTTTAGGACGCTTTCAAAATAAAATGTCTTATTAGCTATTTTATATGACACTTTTTGAGAAATGTCCTATAGGGTTAGGTTCACGTGAGACCAGCCAGTTTTCAAGTGTAAAAAAATGGTTTCACAGGTCTCAAGAAAACAGGTTGGTCTCACGTGATCCCAATTCATGTCCTACAAACCCATCTTTTTATAGGAAACTTGTGTTTAAGTGTCATATAAAATAGCTAATACAACACTTTATTTAAAAAAAAAAAAAAAAACTTTCCAAAAAACATGTTAAAACGCCTAAAAGGTTCTTATAAACCTATTGTAACATTTTTAGATAAGACGCTTTATAATTTAGTTCTATTACTTTAAGTCTTATAGAGTATGCTATTAGGATGCTTAAACACATCCTGTAAACCCATTTTTGTTGTAACGAGAGTTTTGAGGCAGGTACTAACTCTTTAATAAGCTTCACATTTGGCTTTCCATTTCTCGAGAGCAGTTTCAGTAATTTGTTCTTGACAAATTTTTGTCTCACGTAGTCGAATTTTCTGTTTTGAATCCACGGTTGGAAGATCTACAAGGAAATAAAAAACGATTATGATCACGGAAATATTAAATTTTATAATTATATTGTAAAAAAATATCTTATTTCATGTACGTCATATAAAAGACCAACCTGATACACGATGTTAGCAATGAAGAAACAACACACAATGATGAGGGAGATTAAAACTATCACTCGGGTTACAGAATCCGAATTGAAGATTTGCGGGAGCATAAGAATGAGAAACGGGATCATTGATACGAGCATGATTCTTGCTGTGGTACTCGTTTCAGTATCGGTTGTAACACCGTATGCTGCAAAAAGAATAACAAAAAGAATATTAAAAAACGATATTCTAATATTTATGTTAGAATCCCACATTCATTATATAGTACAGCAAAATCGAGTTTATAGGAGGCTAAAAACGTCTAAGTGTCGTAATAGACTGTTTTACAAGACTAAACCATAAAGTGTAATGTCTACAAGTATTACAATAAGTTTATATGACGTCTTAACAAAAAATTTAGAGGTTGTTTGTTTACCTCTTAATAGTTTCATTAAGAGGCAACATCTGAATCGTTAAGACGTGAAACTTGTTTGGCAAAAAAAAGTCTGTCTCTTAATGTTTCTAAAACCCTTTGAATGATTTTGTATCATGGGTCTCCCTTAACCATTAAGAGCCCTAATTTTGATCGTACACAATTACCAAACACTAATGTTTCATTTTGCATTATATCATGAGAGCATCTTAATCATTCTGACCACTTAATCATTATGCACCAAACCATTCATCAATTGTCAAACAACCCCCTTACACTTTTGAAATAAAGTGTTCCTATTAATTATTTTATACGATACTAATTGAAAAAGATGTCTTATAAAAAATTGTTCAATAAAAAGACGTGTTCATAGGACATATCTTAAAAGTATTCAATGAAATAGTTAATGCGATACTTTATTTTGAAATTTTCTTAAAAAAGTTGTTAAAACGTCCAAAAACATCATATAAACTTATTGTAACACTTTTAGATACGGTGTTTGATTCTTTGGTCCTATAAAAGCAGTCTATTATGACACTTAAACATTCATGGTATCTTATAAACCTGGTTTTATTATTGTGAATTTGGACCATTTCTTTTTCTAGACATGTTGGAAGGCCCACTCTTTTTTAAACTGTTTTTTTAATAAAATAAGCTAACTGAGTTTCAGATATTCTACCTGTTAATTTCTTGAAAAATGATGGTTCCTCTCCAAAAAGTTGTGATAAATCGATGTTGTCTTCATCATCGTCCGCAAGATCATAGCTTCCAAAAACTATGACAGAGGGCCAAATGAGCGTTAGGTTCATGACTGCCGATCCCGCTAAAATACTCATTCCCATTGCAGCACTTGTAGATGCACTCATCTCGTCTCTCGATAATCCCGATTCTGCAAATTAATATTATGTTAGTTTCGGTTGATACATGTTGGTATTGGTTTTACACCAACTTCAAATTACATATATGAAAATTTGTTATTTCATTCAGATTTTGGATGACATACCTAGTTTTCAAGTAAAACATGTGATGTTTGAAACTTTTTAATTTGCCAAAAAAAAAAAAAATTGCAACATTCAAATTTTCGAACAAAATAGCTTGATATAATACTATCAACCGATTACAATTGGTACTAATTGAATTGATAAGATTGATATATATATATATATATATATATATATATATATATATATAGAGAGAGAGAGAGAGAGAGAGAGAGAGAGGGGTTGAGTTCACGTGAGAGTTGAGACCAACTTATTTTCATAAGACCCGTGAGACAGCATTTTTACACTTCAAACTTCACAACAAAACATTGTAAAGATAAAAAAAAAAAGTTTGAACCTTCACAGCAAAAACATTATGATGAAGGTTACCTTCATAGTATTTTGCTATGAAAGTTACCTTTACAGTGTTTTACTGTAAAATTTCAAGTGTAAAAAAGTAATCTCACGTGTCTCGCGAGAACAATATAGTCTCACATGATCCCAAATATATATACATATAAATATTGGCGGGTTCAAAACTGTGACCCCTACTTAATATAATTTAGAGTAAACTACAAATTTAGTCCTTGTGGTTTGTCAAAATTAACATTTTTCATTCTTACAAGATGGTCATCATGGTTTACCAAAATATCCAGACTTGGTCTCTCTCACTTTAACGACCGTTAAAAAATTTCGTTACATGAAAGATATATTTTGTTATTTACCCAACCAAAAACCACATGAATCAAATCATAAGATCTATTTTGATTTGTTAAAAGATAATTTTTTTTTTGACAAAAAGACGAAACTGCTTCTCCTTTAACGAAACTCTAAAACAACCATTAGAGGGAGGGATCAAATCCAAATGCTTTCACAAACCACAATGACCATCTTGTAATTTTAAAACTGTAATGACAAAATATGTTATTTTCGACAAACCATATGAACGAAATTTGTAGTTTACACCAAGTGGGTCAACTTGTTAACTTATAAAGCACTCAAAAAGATATCTAGGTTTACACGTAAGTATGCGGTTTGACTTGTCAAATAATCAATCATTTGTCTATATGATATACATAATTAATTGAAAATCTTTCTTGATTTTAGGGGACATTAGGGATTGCTTATTTGAAACAACTGCTTTTCTACAAAAGCAGATGTAACTTGTTACAAGTCAGAAGAGTTTTAACTTCTTTAAAAACTCCTTATTACTGGTTTGGCATCGGTATAAGTTGTTTATCCAAACACTCAAAAATGTTTATATTGATGTTACACCGAAATAAATCAAAAAATTGTTTTTATAAGCTATCTTAAACACAGTGACTTGTCAAACACATGATTCGGTATGAATTGGTTTTGAAATAATATATTGTAAGATCGTGAAAATTAACAACCTATCGATGATTAATTTATATAATTTTTAAAACTTTGAAAATAATAAAATGTAGATTTTAAACAATTTTCAAATACAAATATACATCAAAAATCATATTTATTGCATTTTAAAACCATCATAATCAATTATATATAAATTTTTTGAAATATCATAATCAATTATTTAAAAAACCATTATCAAAATCATTTTGATTTTTAAAATTAGTATAAATATAATCAAACTATAAAAATTATTCAACTTTTTTGATACATTTTCACAAGTTTTCATTAAAAAATAAAAAATTTAAAAGTTTGAAAAAAATAATGTCTTAATATCGATTTTAAAATTTCAATGACATTATTATTACGATTTTAAAATTTATACTTAAAACTTTATAGCAAAACACTATGAAGGTAAAAAAAGCCGAAACTTCATAGCAAAGACACTGTAAAGGTTAGTTTTACAACTTCTTTCTATGAAGTTTCAAGTGTAAAAAAATAGTCACACGAGTCTCACAAAAATAGACTGATCTCACGTAATCCAAAGAATATATATATATATATATATATATATAGAGAGAGAGAGAGAGAGAGAGAGAGAGAGGTTGGTTATTATACAACCCTTGGCATTTGTGCAACCAATCCAACCCAATCTCAACCGTCCATTTCATTTGATTAATATGTGATTTCATATAAGTTTTGATTGTTTCATAATATAAAGTATTGATCATAATTAATGAACCATATTCATCTTCTATAAATATTCAAATCATAATAAATAAACTATCATCATTTTCATAAATATCTCAATTTATTGGGTTGTATTGGTTGTACAAATGCGATAGATTGTATTTGAAACAAACTCTATCTATATCTATATCTGTATCTATGTCTATATCTATATCTATATCTATATCTATATATCTATATATATCTATATAGACTTGGGATCATGTGAGACCAATGGTTTTTCGTGAGACCCGTAAGACCAATTCTCAACATTTGGATTAGATTTATAATCTTCAGATCTGAACATTTATAAACGCCACGAGACTTCTCACTAATTACGAAATTGCCACCTTGCAACTTTGCAACCATTAGATCATTAATTCATAAATTTGATCAATGAACATAAATTGATCTTACGGGTCTCACGAAAAATCATTGGTCTCACGTGAACCCAACCCTATCTATATATCTATATATATCTATCTATATATATATATATAATTTAGTATAATTACATGAATCACATGGCAGGTTTATAATAAGCTATCCACCCACCAGCCCCCCACCGAAACAAAAAAAAAAAGTAGAAAATACTATATAAAATTTATCGAATAAATTCCTGAAAATTTCTTTACTTTTTCATATCGATCTTGAAATTTTTCCAACAATATAAATAACATATAAAACTTGTATATATATTTCTTCGTGTAACCCTCGATTTTACACACCGACAAATAATCACGAATGGCCCAAAGTCATCAACCGTAGGTGAATTTTCAAGACCACAAGAGGACCGATAGCATCTGGAATCTATCCAAATAAGATGAGATTTCCACTATATCCCCTTGAGTCTTAACCAATACGCTAAACAGCCCATGTGGCTAAAGTTGTGTACTTTTGCAGGAATTGAAAGAGGAAATGAAGCTTACCAAGAATGATGAAAAGTGTGGGGAAGTTTCCAAGAACATGGAACAAACTGGCACCGAAAACACCGGGTCCAACGAGACCGAAGAATTTATCCGACCCTTCGGAAATATAACTTTGAGCTATGGACATCAAGTATTGATACACCACGATCAAGAACAATCTCCCCCAAAGACCCGTCGTGCATGGCAAGAACCCGTATTCAAGTTCACATGTTACCGTTGTAGCCTCGACTTTCCCCCAAAATTCCATCAAGACCGCCAAGAAACCAATCAATATCCCGGTTCTCGGGTATATTTTCATCTTTCTTTTTGGTTTTCTATCGTCCCGAAAGGTTGGGAAACTAACCGTGATACGTGAAGACGATGATGCCGTTCTGAAAGTTTGAATCTTTTAACGGTTTTAAAGAAAACCCGTAACTTGGGTTGGGTTGGGTCGGGTCGGGTCGAATCGATGTGATGAAGAAGATGAAGATGGTAGGTGGAAGTTTTTTTAAGGGCTTTTTAGAATCTTTGTGGTTTTTAAAGGGGTTTAAAGAAAAGGTGGTCTTACAGGAACGTGAAAAACGTTGACTCACAAGAATATTATTTTATTTAATTAATATTTGTTTACAATTAATTAAAAATATTTATATATTAAAGAGAAAAATCTTTAAAAAAAACTCAAAGAGTTTTCTAAATTATTAAGTTTTTGAAAAAAATAATAAGAAATAAAACAATAAATTGTTTAATTAAGGGGGTGTTTGGAATTGCTTATTTGAAACAACTTATGCTTTTTCTACAAAAACATTTGTTACCGGTATAAGTTGTTTATTTAAACACTAAAAACGTTTATTATCGATGTCACACCGTAATAAGTCAATAAGTTGTTTTTATAAGCAATCCCAAACACCCTTTAAGTCTTGAAATAATTTCTCTTTAATTAAAAATTGGTTACTTATATTATTTTAATCGGAAAAAAACTATATGTAACCAGTTAAATTTGTTTTATAAGAAAAAAAAACAAAATCAGTTTTATCATTTTCAAACTGGACGACAATGAGGTGGCGAAATACCATTGGATGAGAGGAGTTCTGGTATATGATGATTTTACCGTATTTTTTTTACCATTTTATTTGCAAAATATTTTATTTTCTATTTAGTTTACGCATAATTGTTACATAAAAAAATATAATAATCACCGATTTTTATATTTTTTTAAAGAATTATTCAAGATTTAAAGTCAAAATAATAATTAATTTGGAAAAAAAAAATAATAACAAAAAATCCAAGTAGGAAAAATCAAACGTTTAGGTGGAAGTATTATTTAAATTCAAAGAAAGTGTGAGCAGGTGAGATCGATAACAACGTGATCAAATAGGGCTGCTTATAGTTGAAATTTATAATCCCATCCCAGGTGTACATTTTTTAATTTTCAAAATATTATTTTTTATTTATTTATGTCGGGATCCGATCGAAACGTGTAGGTAGATGCACAATTATCGGTAACTGATGTATAAGTTGTTTGAAGTCTCGTAAATGAAATTGTACTGTAACGTTACATTCTGTCTGTAAACACGTTTCTATCTTGTTCTATGATTTCCATTGATAAATAGTATATAAGTAATGGTGTAAGGGGAAGAGTTCAAACGAGAACACATTCATTTTACGAGAATGCGATAACATCCTTTTACTATAGACAATCAAATGTGATACTATTATTCCATCACATATGATACACATGTGATACTAAATCAAATATGCGGGCAATTTTTGATGTTATCTTGGTTGTGGGACAAGTCGCCCTTACACCACTAAACCCCCTCACATGTATTATCACATTGATAAGGGTGTTCTTGATATGATACTATAATCCATCAAGACCATCACATGTGATATTAAATCATACACGCAGACAACATTTGATGCGGGCTAAGTCGTAGAACACGTCGTACGCACATCACAGGGTCCCTTCACACATATTATCACATATGATAAGGGTGTTAGAGGGTTCTCGTAAAATGAAGGTGTTCTCGTTTGAACCCTATATGTGTATGTGTATGTATATGTGCATGTGCATGTGCATGTGCATGTGCATGTGCATGTGCATGTGTAGGTGTAGGTGTATATGTGTAGGGGAACTGTTCTTTTGAGAACTTTTTAATTTGTGAGATCTTTGAGAATTGATGTATCATGTGTTATTTCGTATGAGTTTTTTTTTTCATTTGTGGTTGGAATTAATATAGTGATTAACATATATTTCTTTTTACATGTATTTGGTTCTCAATGTGAAACTTTTTGGCGTGTTTATGAAACAAAAGGTACGGGTAAAAAAKTTTCATATTATGAACCGAATACATATGAAATAAACGTATTATAAATCAAATATATATTAATCAATACATTAAATGTTATATTTAGATGTAAAGAAATCATGTGAAACAAAACCTAAGATAGAAGTTCTTACAATCTCATAAATATTGAATTCTCAAATGCGTGTGCACACACACACACACATACATACATACATACATACATACATACATACATATATATATATATTGGATTCCATTGAGAATGAGAGTTAAGATAAGATGTGTAAAAAGAGATTTCTATCCTTGAATACACATTAGGATTAAATGCACCAAGATGTGATGCATTGGATTAATCCCTGTATCAAGTCAGATTCATAGGTGGATTTGAGATTAAGGTGATCAAGATTTTAAATCTTTTTTTACGGTTCTCAACTTAACTATATTTCTCACACGATTCTTCGCCTATATATATATATATATATAGAGAGAGAGAGAGAGAGAGAGAGAGAGAGAGTTTGGTTCAAATACAACCTATTGCATTTGTACAACCAATGCAACCCAATAAATTGAAATATTTATGGAAATGATGAGAGTTCATTTATTATGATCTAAATATTTATGGAAGATGAAAATGATTCATTAATTATGATCAACAATTTATACTATGAAACAATCAAAACTTCTATGAAATCACATATTAATCAAATGAAATGGACGGTTGAGATTGGGTTGTATTGGTTGCACAAATGTCAAAGGTTGTATAATAACCAACCTATATATATATATATATATATATATGTGTGTGTGTGTGTGTGGGGGGGGGGTTGGTTGGGTTCATGTGAGACCAATATGTTTTCATGAGACACGTGAGACCACTTTTTACACTTGAAACTTCACAGCAAAACCCTGTGAAGGTAAAAAAAAGTCAAACCTTCACAACAAAAACACTCTGAAAGTTTACCTTCACTGCATTTTGCTGTGAAGTTTCAAGCAAAAAAAAGTTGTCTCACGAAAACAAGTTGGTTTCACGTGATCCTAAATCTATATATATATATATATATATATATATATATATATATATATGTGTGTGTGATTCAAAACACTTGGTTAAGTCGATAACTATTAATTTTTATATTTCTAAAAATATATGATAATAAATAACAACAAGAGAAAGAGAATAAATTAAAGAAAAGGCAAAACACTGACGTTTTTTTTTTATCATTATCTATTTTATAAAGATATCTTACTTTTAAATACGTCTGGTTAAATTTAACTATTCGGAGTGTTACATCACCTGATCTTGATTTCATATTAAAACAAACCGTTGTTCACATACAATAATTCTTTTAAATAACTCTTATGTCATCATAAGTCTATAAAACCATGTATTTGGACAAAAAAAAAATTCGATCAAAATAGAAAGTTCATGAATTTATTTATTTTTGATTAACCTTAATATCCGACCCGCTATACGAGCCAACTAATCTCAGGACGACTATCCGATTTGCGGGTAGCCTAGAGTCACCGCATTTTAACCTCTATGGCCACAAGGGGATTTTTATTCCTTAGATACCTCCATGCACTTTTGACATTTGAAGCTTAAGCTCAAACATGACACCACCTTTATGGTTATTTTTACAATCTATATAAAAAATAATTCCATAAATAATTAATTTTATATTTACATAAGAATGTTATGCAATTATTATACCTATATAAGTTTTATATGTACGTTTGAACAAAAATTTAATCGAACCCATGTTTGTTATACTTTTACAATCACATCACTTACGTTATTTTGCTTTTTTTTTTATCAAATTATTTAACGTAAATCATCGATAACAGTATATTACAGCATCGTTTCGCATAATCAATGAAATCCGTGGAGGTATGATTATTCTTCAGGAGTCAAACTTCCGTTTGTCCATATTTCAAGAAAAAAACGACTCGCCACTTTTAACCTTCATTTATATTGTATTTGTGATTAAGATAGATCAGTACGGACTTTCATCTGCGTTCTAAGGAGGGGTCGTGTAGTCAACCACCTTTTGAGCTTTGTTTCTAGAGTTGTAGGTCAAGTTGATCGAGTTTCTCTCCGTCATATGTTCTTATCGTTGTACTCTTGTTTCGGATTATAAACCGACACATCATGCATAAAACCATGAACGTCTTAAGTGTTGTTTAATCAATTACCGTATAAATTTTATATTTTAAACTGATAAAAGTTTTTCTATTTTTTAAAAACTAAAAATGGATTATTTCATTACAAAATCATAGTTTATAGATGAACTTAAATATCCAATCAAATGAAAACACTTTGAAATATCAGTTAGTTATTTTTTAATAAGTGTTAAAGTCTGAAGTCTTATTTCACTTCTGATTTATAAGAGGTGGTGCTGAAGTCTGAAATTTGAATCCTTAAGTTTTTTTTTTTTTTTTTTTTTGTAAACGTCTGAATTTGTTTAAATTGTTTTACCCATTAAAAAATTATAGTGTTGAATTTGTAGATAAATTTTTACAATTTCACATATTTATTCATCATCATTACAAAATTTACATCTAAATTATGTAATTAGCATTCAGTTAAATGAGAATATGTCAGTAACGATATTTAACACATTTAAATCCTATTAAAATACATCAATTTATAGATATGATGGTTGATTTGGTAAGGATCGATTGAGAAAAATGATTGATTAAGGTTAATCGATTGAGTTGTTGACGGTTTGAAGAACAATAAGAGGTAAATAAGAGATTCATTTACCTGTTACCAGATAAGAGGACAATAAGACATGAATGCCTATGAAAAATTTGGAAAAACAAACAATCTGAGTTACCCTATCTCTTAACGGATCAGACATAAAAAACTGATAAGAGTTTTTTTTACAGAAAACAAACAAAACCATACTTATTGTTGTATAATTTTATATTTTACAATTTTGATATAATTTTTTTTATTTGTTTGGTTTGAAAAATAATTGTATACCTTTTAGTAGAATTCAAAAATGAATCCCTTAAGAGGATTTTAAGCATTCAATTATGGATGACTTTTTCAAAATCTAAAGATCTTATTATATATATATATATATATATATATATATATATATATATATATAAATTGGGTCATGGATCTGGAAAGCATTTCCAGATCTAATGACGGTTGTATATCCATAATCAGTTGTTAATACATAAAACAGAAGAAAAAAAAACCCTTAATCTATACTATATTATAAAGCATCTGGCTAAAACTCTTA